GTCTTTGAATTACTCAATCAATTCTAACTCTTTAACCATCATAGCAGACATATGTAAAGTCTTTCGACTCAAAGCATCAGCTACAACATTAGCTTTATCTGGATGATAGTTTAAGCCAAAGTCGTAATCCTTCAACAGTTCCAACCATCTGCACTGCCTCATGTTCAATTCCTTCTGATCAAATAGATACCGCAAGCTTTTATGATCACTAAACACTTCAAACCTGAAGCCATAGAGATAATATCTCCAAATCTTCAGTACAAACACCACTACAGCTAATTCTAGATCATGAGTAGGATAATTCCTTTCATGAATTCTCAATTGTCTCGAAGCATAAGCTACTACTTTATCATTCTGCATAAGCACACCACCTAGACCCAATTTAGAAGCGTCGCAGTACATGACAAATGGCTCTTCAAGATTAGGTAATATTAAAGATGGAGATTTCATCAATCTTTTCTTTAGCTCAACAAAACTCTCTTCACATTGGATGTCCCTTACGAATGCTATGTCTTTACAAGCCAATTGAGTTAACGGGAGTGCCAACTTAGAAAAACCTTTAATAAATCTCCTATAATAGCCAAACAAACCCAAAAAGCTTCTAATCTCCATAAAGGATTTTGAAGCTTCTCATTGCAACATTGCATCTACTTTAGATGGATCTACATTAATGCCATCACCTAAAATAATATGCCCAAGAAAGCTGACTGCTGTTAACCAGAATTCACATTTTGACAACTTCGCATACAACTTCTTCTCTTTCAACACTTGCAGTATAATTCGAAAATGCTCAGCATGTTCCTCTTCTGATTTGGAATATATCAATATGTCATCAATGAATACTACAACAAATTGATCCAGATAAGTGTGAAAGATACGATTCATATACTCCATAAATACTCCCGGTGCATTAGTAACACCGAAAGGCATCACTGAATATTCATATTGTTCGTACCGAGTTCTAAAAGCTGTCTTCTGAATATCCTCATCCTTAACTCGAATTTGGTGATATCCTGGCCTTAGATCAATCTTGTTGAACACACGTGCACCCACCAACTGATCCATCAAGTCGTCTATTATTGGAAGTGGATACTTGTTTTTTATCATCACTTTATTCAACTGTCGGTAATCAACGCACAATCTCATGCTACCATCTTTCTTCTTTACAAGTAACACCGGAGCTCCCTAAGGCAACACACTTGGTCTTACAAACTTATTTTCAAGCAAGTCTTCTAATTGCTTCTTCAATTCTGATGATTCAGATGTCGACATTCTATATGGTGCCATAGAAATAGGTCTAGTACCAGGTACAAGATCAATCGAAAATTCCACCTCTCGCTCTGGCGGCACATCCGAAATGTCATCTGAAAAAACTTTAGGAAAATCACACATTATCTACAACTTATTGATCGCAGTTTGATTTTCAGTGGATAAGGATCCATTAGTGAAAACAAATGAGCTTCATCCTGCATTAATTCCTTCAATTGCCTAGCAGACAAGAAACTAGTTTATCCCTCCTCTTCTAGAGTAGAAAACCACATCGACTTGTTATAATAGTTAATTTGAACGTAGTTATATTCCAACCAGTTCATACCCAAAATCACATTCAGACCAATCAATGGTAAAAAAACTAGATCAACAACAAAATCTATGTCATAGATGAACAATGGACACTTCGAGCATACTAGAGAAGTAGTCACTAAGCTGAAGTATCGATAATCATTTCCCTATTCATAGAAGATAACACAAGGCCCAACTTTTTAACACAATTAGCAGCAATAAAACAATGTGTAGCACCAATATCAATAATAGTAATTAAGGGAGTACTATTAATGAAACATATACCTTTGATCAAGTTGTCTCTACTGGATGTCTGAGTTCTATCTAATGCAAACACTTTCCCACCAGAACGAGCTTGCTTCGGCTTCTGGAACTGAGCACCAATATGTCCTTCTTCATCGCAGTTGAAACAAATTACCTCTTTGTGCCTACATTCAACTATCTCATGTCCAACCTTGCCACAACGGAAACACCTCTTCATTTCGATAGTACATTCATTATTCTGATGTCTAGGTTTTCCACATCTATAACACACAATACCAGCAGGAGCACCTCTCCCACTTGGCCTCTTACCATCAACAACTTTCTTGTTTTGCTTTGTCAGTCGGAGTATTGTAAGGTTTCCCACGATATTGTTGTTGTTTGCCTCTCTACTCAGTGGCAATCTAGTAGTGAATCTTATTGTCCTTTTTATAGATTCTGTAGTTATTCACTAAATCTGGAAACTTACAGATCTGTTGATATCCAATGGCCTTCTTAATTTTAGAATGTAAGTCATTCTCAAACTTAATGTACTTAGAAAATTCAGTTGTCTCCTCAGTGTAATGAGGATAAAAGTTTGCCAACTCTACAAACTTGGCAGCATACTTAGTTACTGTTAAATCTCCTTGTTTCAGCTCCAGATATTCAAACTCCTTCTTCCCGCGGACATCCTTTGTGTAATACTTCACCAGGAAGTCCCTGTGAAACACAACCCAAGTAATGGCTCACATGCGACTTCTAGTCTCTGGCGAGTAGCAATCCACCAGTCATCAATCACTCATGTCAGCATATGAGTACCAAAATGCACCTTCTGTGCTTCAGAACAGTCCCTAACTCAAAAGATCCTTTCGATTTCTTTGAGCCACTCATGCGCTCCTTCAAGATCATGTTTTCCTTTGAATGTAGCTGGGCGATTCCTCTAGAAAGTTTCTAAAGCACGAGTTTCATCGTTTCCACCAGTATTAGGCTGATTCTACATTGTTGAGCCAAAGCATGCAATGCAACAACAAGTGCACCACCGTTTCTTCCAGTCATTACTCTGCTTCACATCACAACATCAAACAACGATTAAAAGAAATACATCGACAATATTCCACCGTCACACTACACTAAAGACTCAACAACATAGTCGGACGGACTGACCTACTCTAATACCAATTATAACACCCTATTTCCCCGTTGGTAAATTAAAGTAAAAATTTAATTTCTAAAATAAACAACAACAAATAGGATGACACGTCTTCATACATCATACATGCCCATAAAACAAGATATGCAACACATAAATCACATGTTCATCAAATTTGAACTTCCTTTCATTTATTCGCAGCGGAAAACATCAATAATGATAGTCTCAATTCTCCAACTTAAGTTGTGATCATCATCTTTCAAAAACCAGCATAGTCATAAAGTAAAATTCAAAACAACGGAGTTATATAAAGTTTACTCCCAGCATAATAAAGCAAACGCAAAACCCCCAAGTGTTACCCAACATATATAAAGTTTACATATCAGACTGACTCAATCTACTCAAACTGAGGTAACTCTTCAATTAATCTCGACCTCGAGCTACTTCGGATCACCTGCATGTTACCCACGTAGAGGCAACATTCAAACAGAAAGGGTGAGGTATCATAACAATATAAGAGGAAGCATAAGAATGAGCAGATAGCAATTCAAGTACACATCATGATACATCTTTACCTCACACATTTCCATCGGTCATCATACTACAAAGCACGTCAATAATATTAAATGCATAAACAACACAACGTTTGTCATAACAAAATTAGAGACTTATTCAATGTCCAAACAATCAATCATTAATAGCCATACAATGCATTGAAACTGACACTGGCCCAATATGTAATAACCATTAAAAAAATATAGAGCCGCCACCATTAATTTTTATCGTAAGACGGGAATATAACGGAATAAACCTAATTGATAATGCATAGATTCTAAGTTCTTGACTCACTTTAGACGAAGGAAATGTGTTATGCACCATTCATCTACCTTGTTCACAAGGATACTAGGGTTTAAGTTTAAGGTTTAGGAATAGGATTTTAATTTATTAGTTAGGGGACTCGCCACGATTTTTAATTTGTACGCCTACGTATCCTCTTATGAAGAATCAAAGTTTCAATTCGTAGTTCGTAGTGTTGGTTGGTGTTTTTTATAGAATTACGTAGAATTAATTTCGAGTTATCCTTGAACCTTGTCTGGATTGTAAGTTGAGTGATCGTAGGCGCAGTTTGCAGTTAATTTTGAAAATAATTCTATTTAATCATTTTTTCGAAAATGTCTTGGGTTTTATTATGTTAGTAGAAAAATGGTTTCATCGTTGGTTATCTATTTTAAGTGTTTCATTGATAACGAGTATGGTAGGAAATAGAATGGGGGAAGTCTGTCAAAGTCTCCTCGTCACGTGGCCATAGAATAGCCACGTGTCGCTTGTCATGAAGGATGCGGAGAGAGCATTTGGTGAGTTGCATGAGTTTTAATGTTTTAATGTTGAACAGTTAATTGATAAGGCGTTGAATCAATCAAAGAATATGGCGAATGTGTATCCGTCAATCCTGTTATTTATAATACGTTGAATTAATTTGATTTACGAGAGTGTTTTGTTAATGTACGAAGTTAGTGATTTATGTACGGTAATATTAAGAATTTAATCGAGGATTAAACCCAAACTATGTATCAATTTTAATAAAAGATACATATTTTGTATTTTTCTCTAAATAAATTACATGTGTTTTTAGTATTACTATTTTTAAATAAATAAGATTAACTACATATAGCATACAGTACTCCGTCTCAGGTTTTAATATTTTTTAATTTCTATAACATTTCATATCAGTACATGTATTGTGTTTTAGAAGCTTTGAACTCATCCTAGCATTAAGTGGAATATTGTGCTAATCATTTTAAAGAACTCTGTTGAGGAACACCCACAATAACCAACACGTATCCCACCTCTAATCCATATTTAATCTTCATTCATAATTAATACAGTACCCCTTGTGGCTTTGGGAAAGTTGAGTGAGCCGGTGCTTTCTTCAACACCCATAAAATTGAAATTCAAAGTCAAAGCAAAACTCAAACGCACACACACCAAATATTTCATCTTTCATAAATCAAACCCAATTCCACATCCAACATCCATAGTCAAAACAGAGATGCGTGCTTCGAAAGGTTGTTGTTCGCGGTGGCCTTTGGATCCAGTAATGGTTGAAGGGAGCTGCATTCATGTCGATTCCGACAGTGGTCTCTGGAAGTTTTGCGCTGATGATTGAAAAGTGTGGTTCGGTGGTGTTGTTAAGAGATAGTGATGATATGCTTGAAATTGTAAAACAGGGATACGGGTTAGTAACAGATGCGGTTTGTGTGTTTCTGAAATATCTACGATATAAGAAAAGTGAATTTACTCAAATTTCCTATTTTATCTTTTTGTTCTAAAAACACAACACAACACGTTGCTTCCTTAGAAAATAGAAAATAGTTTGTCTTTCCACTTCTCTCTTCCTCTTCCTTTCTTGTCTCTTCCATTTTCTCTTTCTCATACTTTTTCTTTTTCTCTTTCTCTCTCATCTTTTCTCTTTCTCATCCTTCATCTTCTTTCTCTTACATTGTAATTACACACATCCAATTTCAGGTTTATCAATCAAGAATGAGATGTAAGCTTACATTGTAGAAGTAGAAAACGATGACAAAATTCAATCTGATGTCTTCTCTGAAGCTAAAGAATCATGCTACAAGATAACTCTCTTTTTCTTTGATTGGTTTCTACAATTTACGCTTTATCATTATCTTTGTTTTGGTATATTGATTTTTCTTTGCATTGAATCAGGCTCGTCATACTTTCTTATCGTGCCTTGAAAAAGGATGTGAGCAGAAACCAACTAAGATTGCATCCGTAGGTTTCCTTTATCCAATTGAATGCAAGAAATCTAGAGATCAGTTCATAAATCAATGTCGATCTTCTTGGATAAGGGAAACCCTAACCTAATCCCATTTCAACCCTTTTTATGTTCTAATTTCACAATTGTAAAAATTTATGCTTTTTCTAATTGGGTATGTTGATTAATCATATGTGGCATGTTAAGCATTTCAATAAACAATATTGCAGGAACAAAAGGGATCAGAGGCTTTTGGATGATAAAGGCGATAGGAGAGGTCTGTTGTTGCTTCCACAACCTTGCACTTTGAAATCCACTCCTTGATTTTCATGAACCACTCATTCATCTAGAAGATTTTAGACATTGAACAAATCATTAGTTTGTTATTTGATAGTATTATTTTATATTCTTAGGGTATGATAATGCTGAAATTCACATATATGAAATTTCGTTAATGATATTGAACTTCGTTAATGTTCTAACTGATTGTGTTTGTTATATATGCAGACAATACTTTGTGGCTCCTGTTAACTATTTCCAAAACTTATTTTATGAACTTATTTTACATTTTCACTAATTTTACAATTTTCTACATGATTTTACAATTTCCAGAACAATTTCCAAATTTACACATCTGCCTTTCTGCTTCAAATTTGCTACTCTTATGCGGTTAGGATCTCAGTTTCCCCTTCTTTTAGCGAAATCATAATTTGTCTGTCATTTCGGTCGATTATTATATTTTTTATTTAAGTTTATCTCTATCACTTTGTAAAATTCTTATCATGATCTGAAACTGTAAGTTGTTTCACAGTAGGTAGTAAGGAAATCACAGTGCTCTTAGATTAATGCAACAATACCAATTGGACTACAGAGGAAGGATTAAGGCAAGCTTACCCGCAGAAGTTGCCTCAGGATTCAATCCATCAGTCACAAACTTATGAATTATGTACCTGTATTGTGATTTCTTTAGGGTTTATCTCGAATTTGAAATATTTGTTGAATATCAAACATGTTTTAAATGCAGGTGGCACAATCACGTCTTCACGTTTCTGCAGGTAACAATAGGGGTGAGATAAGTAAACTTCTTCTTAAGTGGCAAGGACCAGAGAGATTTGAAATAGAGGCTAGGAATATGGTTGGTGCCATCAATTTTTCTATTCAAATTAATTGTTAGCATGTTTATATGTATGAACTAAAGTTCTGGTTATTTTTGTAATTATTTAAAGTTTTCTTTCTGTCACTTCTGCAGTAAGGAGAAACTCCATTGCACATGGCAGCAACCATTGACGGCATGATGCATTTACGACATTGGTTCTATAATATTGATTTACATTTCATGGAGTTTGAGTACGAGAAAAAAATGCTCTTGTGTGAAGTTTTACAGACACATTATTCCCTCGGAACATCTGCACCTCTATGTATGTGTTGCTGTCTTGAAATGATATCGTAGTAAAATAATGGTGGAGGTAATGGACTTTGACAGCCTTTTGAAAATTTAATTATTGTCTGCACTGCATTCTGCGGTCTTGAAAATCTACATCAGTAAGTTTTTCGTCTTGATATCTCCATAATTTGTTCATATAAATATGTCATGTTATAAATTTTATAAACTGTTTGATAAGAAATCTGCTTTTAAGGACTGGAATAATAAAGAAGGGCTTCAATGCCTTTCATTGTTGATGTTTCAGGTATCCAGTTGATGCTTTCATGGGAGCCAAAATCCAGTCTGTATTGGTTTGGCATCACTCTAATTTACGATATGGAGCAGATATTTTACGCATCTAAATCCAAGAATTTTCTGGTTGGTACTGTTATGCCTTCATTGGGACGAGGTCATATGTTGTCTGATGCCTAGAACTTGGTTAAGTTCTTAGTTGCCAATCTATTAATAGTTATTTTTGTTCTTCAAATATGTATTAGCTGACCCATAATATATTCAATGCATAATGAAAGAGAAAGTGATAACTTTTCTTGCCTAGAAAATTAAATGCAAGTAACTGATATATGGAAGCATATATACTATGACTAAAAAGGAAGCATGTAAAGTGAACAGTGAGAATTTTTGGAAATAGTTGCCTATATTTATTTACATTTCGTTATAAGTTATATAGTTGGTGTTGTACCCCAAAATTTGTCCTCTCATTTCTCAAAGGATCATCCTGGACTCTCAGGTTTTCCTCCATCCAATTTCAAGCCTTCAATTATAAGTTTTTCAAGAAAGTCATTCACAAGGCAAAATGGTCATTTTTCTTACTGAAAATTCAAACTTTGACTTTTGGACCAAAGTCAAGTTTCAAGAGTCATATTTCATCAAGACATGTTGAAATATGAAGTTTGTTTCATCAAGAAATTAAAAAGTCAAAATTACTTTGGAAAAGTCAAATTCTAAATACTTAGAATTTTTCTAAGTGTTTAAGAAATATGACAAGTTTAGAACTTTGACCAGATTTCCACCATGATGCAAGTTGACTCTGAAAGAACTTCTAACACAAGAGTTTTAGATCTCAATAAGACCTAAAATATTGCAGAACAGAACTTCTCCTGGAAATGTTGGAATTTCAAGTTATAAAGGTTCAGAGACACGTCCATGAAACTACAACACTCAGCAAATTCTGGACATTTTCAAGACAGAGTTTGGTTAGAACTTCTGGGTCAGTTTTCATGATGGTTCAATCAGAAGTTGCAAGAGAAATTCAAAGAGGATTTATAAAGCGTGTTACAAGCTTTTGGGAAAGTCTGAGAACTCGCTCAGAACATGCTGGAGCAGAGAGATTCCAAGATCAGAAGTTGGATGTTTGTTCTAAGTTATGCTGATGCTGAACTTCTGGCCCAGAATTAAGCTATGATGCACAATATCATAGCGCATGATTTCTGGGGTTTGATAAATCTCATCATCATTTAATGCACACAACCACTTTTGAGTTTTTATCCAAAGGATTTCCCCACATGTGAGAAAGAAGTACCATTGTTGTCCTTGAAAAATAAACTTTTGTACAAGTTTATGTTGGGCTCATGCTTTGTTTTTGCCTCTGAGGATACTTTTCTTTAATTCATGCTTACAAATCCAGCTTAGGCACAGCTAAAAGTTGCTAACCACCATACTTGTTTAATTTACTTCAAGAACAAGGCAACACCCTAGCATATGATGACTGTACCCTTAATCTCTCCAAGCTACAAAATCTTTGCCTATAAATTGAACTTCATTAGCAACTGTAAAGGGGGTCGGAAAAATTGAAGGGAAAAACTTTGAAACCTTGCTAAAATTTCCAGAAACCCGAAACTGCAAACACAAAAATACAAAACCTGCTAGTTTTTTATTCTTGCATTCAAACTTCAATTTCCCTCAAGAGTTTCTTGACCAAGTCATCCATTCACCTTTCATATCCCAAGCTAAAGTGTGTTCCAGTCTGTTGAATACGTGGGGAAGCTGATCAGAACATTACAAGCAGTCTGAACCAGACTCCAACTCATAGAACATTTTCTAGTTGCAAGGTAAGCTTCTGCTGATTCTCATCATATTACTTAGGCATTGTTAGATTTGCATGATCAAAATACAATGTAGACATCCTGATCCTGTTGCTGTATATATTCTGAAGTTTCATATATTTGTCTGCCTAAGTAGAGAGAACATTAGTTCGGAACTTCTGAAGGAAACTAGATTTAGCAGATACATGCTTGTTTCTAATTTACAGTCTTGATATTTTTTGTGCTTCTAAAACCATGATGGAAACCTGCCATAATTGCTATGTTTTTGTTTTCTGTTCTGTTGAGAAATGGCTAAGTTGCAGATGTTCTGATTAGCATGGAGAAAGAGGTGAAGCTCATCATCATAACTTACTTTATGTTATATGTTCATGCTTTTGCTTCTAATACCGGATGTACAGCCACCCCTGTGGTAGAAAGTGTGTGCATGAGACATTAGTGCTAAGGGTACTGGGTTCTAGCCCTAGAAGCATCTCTTTTTAGGTTTATTTATTGACATTTTTCATCCATTTATCTGGCAAACAATATTCTTAAATAAGAACTTCTAAACAACCTTACCCAACAACATTACCACCTCACTCTCTCAAATGGCCAGAACTTCTGACTTGCCAGTTATATAGAAACTTCTAGGTTCCCAACTACATTATAGCTTCTGAACCCCTTCAATAATCAGAACTTCTAGATCTTCCTTTATTCCCAGCAACCCCAGAACTTGGTGTACCCAGACCCAGAACTTCTGACCTTCTGCTTGCCTACTAACATTTTCTCTCTTGCAGCGTATCAGAGTCAGAACTTTTGTTCCTCCTCGTTTCAGCAATATGCTAATTTTGACTCCATTTTCTCGTTTATCTTATTGTTTGCTTTTAATAACCAAAAACACTAAAAATATTTCATATTCACATTTTTATTTCATCTCTTTTAGAATAAAAAAGATCAAAAATATTTTCTTAAGTAAATTTAATTTCTTAACAAAAACAAAACAAGTCTATTTTACATTTCTTGTATATTATTTCAATATGGTTGTAATAGATAATTAGGACTTTAATTTCTTACAATCCCCATTCATAAATTTGTGCCCCCATCCCTTAAAGCTTTGTAATAGCTTAGTATTTTTATTTTCTACAATTTAATGCTTTATATACCAATTGCTAGTAATTAGGATTTGTATGGAAAGATTAAAACCAACAAATAGCAAACCCTAATCAAGATAAATCATGCATGAAAATCAATACACTTGCACACAAGCACCCCTAGGGTAAATCCACTTGGTTGCCTTATAAAAATGACCATATTACACATGTGAGGTATCTTAGCAAAGACAAGTAAAATACAAGATCATAGTCCCTCGATGAAGCTATCAAAAGGTGCCTTTCAAATGATCTTAGTCTCTAAAAAGAATGCTAAGATACCTTGCAACATTGCTAATCATGGTTATACGATGACCCACGCCCGTCCCGTTTACATCCAAAGATAGGGTTACTTACCAAATCAATGGTAAGATAACAATGTCAAAGTAAAATAAAATGAACAAGAAAGACTTTTGAGTAGGTAGAATGCTCCTAATTACTTGCTCTATTTCAAAACAAACATCCTTGCTATATTCAAAACAAACACCCACACTTTTAAAATATCTTACGAACTTGAAAACATTTTCAAAAGATCAAACACTTTGCATACATTCTTACGAACGAGAATCATTACAAAGTTTTCCTAAACAATGGCCTCTTACAAAATACTTTCAAAAAACACACAAAGCATAATTTCAAACAAAAGCAATTGATCTAGCAAGTAACTAAGAGCCCATGGAAAACCATGGATGAAAAGGGTGCTAATACCTTCCCTTTTCATAATCTATCCCCCTAACTCAAAAAATAATCTCAAAGGTCTTTCCTGTGCTTTTTCACCTTTCCTTTTGGATAAAAGAAAATTCGGTGGAGACTCTTGCTAATCGCAACATTTGCGATCAAACGCAAAATCTTCAAGTCAGTTCTCCCATCGTATCACAGAACTGGAGATACTCTGCTGGGGAGAATTCTAAAAATGGGGTTACCTTAGGGTTAGATCACATTTACTTGCTTTCATTGTTTGACTTGTTTGCTTTACATTATGGTTCTTTGTTTGGGTTTGAATCCTCTACTCGGATTTGGGGATACCTTATAGGTAAGTAGCAATATGTTGTGGAAACTGTGCGGGGTATACCGACATGGTCTAAGCAATAGCTACGTTAGTGCGACATATTTGTGGGTATCGAAAGCCCTTGAGTTAATCAAAGAGAATACGAGGCCGCTGAGTGATGTCATGAAGCACTAATAAACTTTTAGAACCTTTACTTGACCAACTTGGCCTTTAGGACGTAGTGAGATGATCGGCTTTGGTGCAGTCCGAAGTTGGTAGATACTCGATACTACGCTCATTGAGGTTTGGTTTTTTGAGATTTTTCAGTCGCCATTAAAAAGGCTTGTGCTGAGACAATGCTCAAAGAAACAAATCAGTGATATTGAGCTCCTTAGAACCCGGTTACTATTGCTAAGACAGGTTGAGCCAACTAAACTTCAAGAGGGTACTTACCTATAAAACTCCATGCAAGCTTAAACCTAAGGACTCGTTTGCTTTGTTTGTGTATATTTACTTGTACATAAAATCATGAACATCATAACATCATACTCATTCACTAACCATTTCAAGGATCTTGGGATTCATCTTTGTTTTGTTTTGTAGGACATGGATTCTATTCGCAGGAAACCTATTCAAGTCAATCTTGTAAGGATCCCTCCACAACTTAAGGAGCTAGCTTCAAGGATTCCAGAAAATTCTCCATTCACCGAGAGACATGGTCGTTTACTCAACTTGGTCACTGTTGTACCCCACAATTTGCCCTCCCATATTCTTCATAATTTGTCAAGAATCATATTCAAATAGCTCAAGATTTCTCAAGGGGTTGCATAGTCAAACCATCCTCCTAAGCCAGTCAAAATTAGGGTTTTGGTTCTTGCAAGGAATTTGAGGTTTTCAATGGTCCAATCAAGTCTCATAGGCTCACATACATTGCCAAGCTTCTACATACCAAGTTGCAAGTCTCACAGCATCAAATTGCACAGTCAAAAGTTCTATTTGGTTCACAACCAACTGCAGGGGCAAAATGGTCATTTTACAGTCAAAAGTCAAATTTTTTTGTCAACATCTTATTTTGAACTCACAATAATCATTTTATCAAGTCTTGATCATGATTCCACAAGAATGGCTCAAAAATCATCAAGATGCAAAAGTTACTATTTTTGGACAACAGAAAAGTCAACTGTAACTTGACCAGGGCATAACTTTTTCATTATTCATCAGAAAAATCCCATACAATGCTCATTTTGAAGGGGATGA